AACCCTGGGGACACCTTGGGGACACCCTGGGGACACCTTGCGAACACTTGGGGGAGACTTGGGGACACCTTGGGGATAATTCGGGGACACATTTGGGACACCCTGGGGACACGGCTGACTTGCTGGTGGCAACGTACACGCTGGGGACACCTTGGGGACACCCTGGGGACATCCTGGGGACACTTTGGAGACCCTTTGCAGACCCTTTGGGAACATCGCTCACTTGCTGCTGGCAGTGTACACCCTAGGGACACACTGGGGACACCTTGGGGACAATATGGGGACACCTTGGGGACACCTTGGGGACTGGTGGGGACATCGTTCACTTGCAAGGACCAATGTACAACCTCGGCACACCCTGGGGACACCTAGGGGTCGTCATGGCGACATTTGGGGGACACTTTGGGGATACCGTTCGCTTTGTGATAATGTACACCCTGGGGACACCTTGGGGACACCTTGGGGACATGCTGGGGACACCTTCGGAACACTTTGGGGACATTTGGGGACACACTGAGGACACTCTGGGGACCCACTGGCAACACCATGGGGACACCCTGGGAACACTTTGGGGACATTGCTCACTTGCTGCTGGCAACGTACACCCTGGGGACACCTTGGGGACAGCTTGGGGACACGTTGGGGACAGGTTGGGGACATGGCTCACTTCGGGACAAATACGGGAGACCTTGGGGACACCCTGGGGACACATGGGGACATCGCTCCATTCCTGGCGGCAATGCACATCCTGCCGACACGGCGGGGGGACACGCTGGGGACACCTTGGGGATACATAAGGGGACATTCTTTGGGACACTTTGGGGACATTCGCGGACATTGCCCGCTTGCTGGTGGCCATGTACATCCTGGGGACACCATGGGGACACCTTGGGGACAATGTGGGGACAGCCTGGGGACATCTCTCAAACTCTGCTCACAAGGTACAGATTGGGGACATCTTGGCGACACACGGGCTACACCTTGAGACACATTGGGGACACTTTGGGAACACCCTGGGGTCCCCTTTGGGATACGTTGGGGACACCCTGGGGACACGTTCGGGACAATTTGGGGACACG